ACTTCAGATGGTCGCGGTGTTTCTATGGCCAAGCTTTCTCAACAAGCATGGGTTATGATGATTGTGATGATTATCACACTATGGCAGATATATGCCGAACTAAGTGACGATCAAGTCGATTTCACTTGAGTATTTGAACATTGTTTCTCATCGAATATCACACAGGTGAATTCTTGTAAGCCTGTTCTCCTTGCATATGTATGCATTATGTATATCATCTAGAGCTACTCGGTCCATAGACTATTGTCGTCATCCATGTATCGACGTGAATGCTGATCAGGGATAGGTTTCCCGTATGGTGACAGATTTGAGTTCAATTCTTCCCACGTGAATGGTTGAGTCCCAAATGGAAATTCTCACAAGATGTGAAACACGCCGACATATCAACATAAGCGGAAGTGAGGCGTTTATGATTATTAGACTGGGAAGATGACTAACAAAAGCATCCCCTCAATCAGCGTGAAAGTACCACTTCCCAATGGTGTTATAAATAACTATTGTAACATTATGAGATTATCTTGCACCTCGTAGAGAGAAGCTCTTCCCCGGTCAACAATAGTTATTACATTTCTATTTTTTGTAAGAGAATAATCGAGGAAATATCCTCCCAGTGGTGAAGTAGCCGTCGAGGCTGCGGCCAAGAATCAAAGTTGTCCAAGATTTTCCCGTCAACAGGTAGTGTTGAAGCCTTAGAGTAGATGGACATTGTTATTTTCCATGTATTACTTGTTATAAAGGTAACTAAACCCAATCGAAACTATGAATGAACACAATAATTGGGTACTAACAAGTTGAAATCGTTGAGATAGGTAATCCTGTGATGATAAGTTATAATTTCATTTGTAACTATGCACACGACAATGGACAGATTATCTTCAATATTATTCTCCTAGACAGAAAACAGTCAATGTGCCGAGTAAACCTCCAATGAAAATGCCGTTGATCAGCGAGAAAGCCATAGCATACCCCGCGACCTCCTGTTCGGCTTTGTCAGCAGGGACGCGTTGTGGCCCATACATCATGGATAAGGTCGCAGTAAGACCATTGGTGATAGCGAGGAACACCATTCCTACATGTTTGAACCAATCCCAGTGAAATGGCTTGGTCGTGGGGTAGAGGGCAGTGCAAATGAACAAGGGTATGAATAGAGCACGACAGAGAGCGAAGATAATGAGAGGCTTTTGAGGGATCATCAAACCCACATTGGGAGCGAACCTGCCAACAGTATCGGCAATTTGATAAGTAAAAGTGACCATGGGTATGAAATCATTGGTGGCGTCCTCGGTCCCGGCCTGGGCCTCCCACTTCATGGTCTGACTTGGGAAGCATATAAATGTAATAGTGAGAACCGACCAAGCACAGAAGGCCATCGGGGCGACATCTTTGAGAATCATCCACACTGGGCGTCTCGTTTGACGTTCCTTCAGCGAGCTCGCCGTGTTTCTGTTCTTTTCGATAGCGAGTACATATCTCATATGAGGATGCTTTGACGTGATACCACGGAACATTGGAATGATCGCTAGAGTGACCAGCGATGTGAGAAAGAATAAAACAAAGCAGACCCATTCATCTCGGCGTTCTATATTTCCAAATATAACATTTAATAGTAAAAGAATTGGCCAACCAACAACACCACCAATGCCCTCGCCGACCATGACCCAGTTCATGCAAGACTTAGGGCAGAGAGCAGCCAACCCAAAGGCCGTAGACTCCATCACTGCATGCCCAAAAGCGATGAAGACAATACAAACAGTTCCGAGGGCGTTTCCAAGGCCAGTGTTGGGAGAAGGATTGTCCGTACCAATTGTCATCGCAACAACAGCGAGCAGAATATTGAACACTGCTAGCAGCCCACATCCCCAATCGAATCGCGGAGCGAAGGTAAACCTGTTGCCGTAGAAGATAATGAAAAGCTGCGCGATGTTGACTGCCAAGCCGTAGAAGATTGATATAGTCGAACCGAAACCGTGATTGAATTTGTCATCCAAATACACCAAGTCGGTCAAGATGAAGTTCCATGGTGCCAAGGCGACGAAACCGTAGATACAGAATTGTAACAACAGCGTCCAGGTAACGGGTGGCGCTTCGCCCTCCTTGCTTGTGCTGAAGGATGAGGTCACCGGAGGCTTCTTTTCCGACGGTGCCGGGATCCCCTGCATCTCACGGATTTCGGTGATGGTCGAACGTCTTCTGGCTTCGGTCATGTCGATAGGAAGAAAGAACCTATTCGATGCCTTGATCGGAGAACTGAGTATTACTTGCAGATTGCAGGGAATAGGTATGGACGATGAGAGGAACGTCAAAGATCGTGTTGTGGTTTAACGAAATTGGTTATGGCGGTGAAATTTCATGCCGAAGGTCGGGGGTTCGATTTTTGGGTTGTGCTTTTTTAAATCTTCGTTTCAGCTAGGGAGCTCATTGCCCTTCTGTCTCAGGGTTCCTCGAACCGGTTATGTGTGACCCCGCAAGTGAGTTCCGTAGAGCTCGGAACTCTCGATCAGGGGCAGGCCCAACAAAATGAAGTGACGATAAACAACAGTAACGACAGCCCAAGCTGGAAGGACTATAATAGTCTAGCTGCTTCTCGGTTTCTCCTACTTCTGCATCCTCGGTAAAGTTGCCTTGGCGCTGTGGAACTTCATATTCACCGACCTCCTAGATCTGGCGAACAAATTGGAGTATCGTCTTAGCTCGATCGTCTACGATGGGTTGGCTAATAACGTTACTCAACTCTTTATCATATTCTGCGGTAACCAGTTCACGTTTGCTCAAAGGTTCGATACCGGTTGCAGCTTCTTGGCTCTCCTCGACACCTACTCCAATTGTGGTAATCGACGAACGCTGAAGACGACAATTGCAGTTGACGAATTACAACATATTTTTTCAGGCTGAGAATCACAGCCGCGGTGCGATCGATGTGATTACCCTTTCGTGCTAATGCCCAGCAAGGCCTTGAGCTGATTTTTAATATATCGGACTCGCGATGTCGTGGTGGGGCCTTTGATCATACTGGGCCTGTTTCATAGGAGCAAATTGCGCCTTAAACTTAAGTAACGGCTTAAGTATACCTTAAGTAACTCCTTAAGTTGCTCCTATATTTAAGGCGCCTTAAATTAAGTATCCTCGTGAAACAGGCCCACTATTATGGATCTACCGCCCTAAGCCTGGCCACCCTCTCTCCGAAACCATGTATCAATTAGGTTATGGAGGACGAGGGCATGCCCTCTGTAGGGTTCTTCGACTGTATCCTCCTAAACGTCCATCGCAATGATGAATGAGTTTGTTGGGGTCTCCTCTCGGTAAGTTCCGTCTTGTCTCTCACAAGGACCCTCTACTCAAACAAGTCAAAATAAGAGAAGAAAGAACCGACAGTTCGTCAAACCAGACGTTGAGTACGTACAAGGAGCTCGATGCGTCGATGGCTGTCTGTGCGTGGTCAGTCCACGGAATCATCCAGGAACCTATAATGGTCTCGGGAGGGGAAAACTCATTTTGAATTTTCCACGTATGGCTAGTAACACATTCTTCAATCAGTTTCCCATGTAAATGTCATCATCACATTAGAAACATCATTTTCCCCATTGTTATCAAACCCTAGGGGAACGTTATTTCTCAAAGCTGCATGTCTTCCTACCTAACTATACTACGCCTTTTACTCTGCGAAACATTCGCTGCCGACACCCTGAGTAAACTCACAGTGTTTTCGTGAATAGCGTATAATTTTTCTGTTATTGATTTTATCATCATTTTTATCACTACTGCAACTTCTGTTGTTCAGTGTGTGTGCCTTACTTGTTGTTTATATCATTTATATGATATTTTGTTCATTCGCAGGGTTGGCAATGCTGAATTTCGAACAGTTGCTTTCAACAGGAAAAGGATAGTTTCAATGTCATTTTAATTAGGGTAGTGTCTTTTTTGCAGTGCGGTAAGATTTGCATATGATCAGCCACATGTGTTGGTGACAATATCGAAACTCTGAGGAAATTTTGTTAGTTTCTGTACACTTTTCTCCCGATTCGTATATAAACTCCTGTGATTAGTGAGGAAATTTTTGAGCTCAGCTGAGGAAAGCGAACATATTTTGCAGCACTGCTTTTTTGAAGCGGTGATGTCTTTTTTCCTTAGGGATTCTCAGGGTGCGAAAAGTAAATTTCTTGAATGTCATAAAATATATTGAAATAATGTAAAAAATTTTCGAATAAATAAAATATTTTTCCCTTCTGCGAAAA